AAATGGCAACTTGTCAGCTACTATGTGCAGTTCATTCACTTCTCGTAGAATGGCGCTGCTACAGGGTCTTCATACACTGCGAAGCCTCTTGACCAACATACAGACCAGCCTGGTGCCAGAACAATCAGCCTTATTCATCGTTTGGTACCTACTTATACATATACTATTCAAAGCTTAAGACACTGCACAGTCCAAGTAGAGAAATGTGCTACTTAAGGTGCTGCTAATTAAAGTAATAAAACTCATAACTTGTCGAGCTTGACAATTTTTTTATTTGGTCATAGAATATGGATAAACTCTGCACAAAAAATTGTTTCAAATTCAGTATAATATGGCTAACTACAGAGTACAGACACATATATACAACATTCCTGTTCCATTTGTTCACAAATATAAAACTTTCAATAAAACTCTTTGGAAAAGACTGAACATGCTTGAAAATGTTGGCTTCCAGGTAATTGAAGCAAGGACTACTAGTATATATAAATGTCCTTGATTGAAGACACTCCTGAGGTAAAAAGAGTTTTTGGGTTGTTCCATAAGTTATCCTGAAAGGGGGTGATGGGACAGGGATTGTTCAAATGTCATGTTAGGAGGGTGGTATCACTCTCTCTTTTTAAAGCCCATAAATCTATGATATCAATTGAAGCTATTCAAAGTTCTACTGAAGTTCGCTTAAAATGATTGTCTGTATGAAGCTCACGAATTTGCTAACGTGTGAATATGTCGTAAAATGGAAATTCAAACTTAGCAAACTGGGGCAGAAAAAAGTGAAGCAAAGTAGCTCTAAACTTCTCAAGTCTAGAAAGATGTAGTGAAACTATGAGCAAAGTAAAGCAATGAAAAATCCAAATTGCAAAAAGTAAGTAGGTACAAATGGATATTCACTCTGTCATTGTCTATTAAACCCAAAGCATCTTATAAAATGAGTGAAAAACAGTTCATGAAGCATTGCAGCTATTATCATCTATCATGTCATGCATTTTAAAAAGAACCAACATTCATGCAAAATTGTTTCTAAAAGCTAATAAAAGGCAACATGAAGATAAAGGTACTATTGTCTTTAAGGCTGTACAGACCTTTTAATTCCCCAACCGAAGTCAGGTACCTTTTTACCCAAAATGAGTGGAGTGAGGAAAGTTGTTAAAGCTCCTTTCCTGAGGACACAATGTCTAGCCAGGAATGCATGGAACCGAACCCGTGATCTCTCAATCTTGTGTCCGTTACGGCGTTAGACTAGACACTCGGCCATTTCACACCACTTCCAAGGCAAATAAAAATGTAACTGTTATTAGAACAATTTGACTTGGGTGACACAGTTAAATTGTTAGACTGTTTAACGCTTTCTTGTTTCCAGAGTGCATGTTTATCCATTTTTGTCTTTCTTACACGCGAGTGTATGAAAAAGTGTTTAAATACATGCATCTTCATGAACACTCATTGGTTGGGATATGGATTGTACAGGAAAACAACTATAGCAGCATTACTGGCACCAATCTCTTCAGAAAACAAGGCTGTCCCTAGTTCTTTAACTACTGTACAGGTCTTTTGCTCTGTGTACACACCTGAATGTTCAGAACAGGTTTCCCTCTATACCACTCATCGATCTGACTTCAAGCTGAAACAAAAGGTAAAAAAAAAAAAAACTCAAACTCAAAACTTTCAAAACACAGCTTGACAAGGGCAGGTTACTTTTTCCCTGTGCATCATACATAAAAGGTGAACATTGCACACTCTAACTAAAACAAAATACATGTTAGTGCTTTTCTTCACTGGAATATCATTGCCAACTAGCAACATGAACAATAGTTTATTCATGGCCAGCATGCCAAGCAGTTTTGAAGGCAATTCTTTGCAATGTGGTATTATAGTGGTATTAAATAGCTATAGCCTTCTCCCTGCTGTATAACTCTGTAACTACTATTGGTGCCAAAAGGCTACTTCAGCTGGGGCAGGGAAAGGTGCATAACAGAGACAAGGCAATCATTCTTGGAGATACACACATTCACAGCTGAACATTTTAAGTCTTGTTATAGCAAATTTTATATAATTCTGTCCTTGTTTCAAAAACAACATTGCAACTTACTGTACATATCCTACTGTGTCTGCTACAGGCACATCAATGCATCCCAATGGATACTCAGGGACATCAATGGCTTTGATAGCATAAATTATGTTGAGTCTAGCAGCAATGGCATTAGCAGGTGTGACCTGTGTTCGAAACCTTGCATTACTAGTAATACTGACAAGCAGCAGTCATGGATACTAGTAGTCATCCTTCCAGCATGCAGTGTTACTTTGAGCGCCTCCTGGCAGAATGACTTACAACTGCATGTGTCTCCAGATGTACTCGTTGTCCATGATCTCGTCCAGTTGCCTCTCCAGTTTCTCTGCCAGCGTGGTCTTGGGAACGTTCCTCAGGATGAACTGCAGGGTTAACTGATACAGGATGGACTCCTTGTTTTCTGGTTTGCACACGTTCAGATGATTCACATCCACCTGGTGGAACTCTCCAAAACCTGGATCTGAGGGAACAACCAAATGTCAGGATCTAACACTGCTGCATGTACACGATACGTACTTTATGACGTTCTTGATACATATAAACATAACCAATGCTGGTCTTGCATTTTGGGTTGGTGACTTAGAATCTAAAGGTTCTGGGTTTCAATCCCCAGTAGACCCAAATGTTGGGCCCTTGGGAAAGGCACCAATTTCCTCACTCAACTCAGGTGAAAAATTGTACCTAGT